ACAAGCCATAACAACGAACTCGGGCGGAGCGAAGACGCAAATCAACAATTGGAGGTTCCACCGAGATGTGGGTTGCTTCGGACAGGCAGGAAGGGCAGGTTGAGTTCTTCACACTGACCTGGCGCCAGTATCTTCACAATACAGGTAAGCAGATACCTGGTTTTTTATCGAAATCTGTCATTGGGCTTTAATAGGCAAATTAAAAGTCAGTGTGTTGAACTCAATAAAACAGAATAAGTACGTTTTTATGATCGGTAGCGCGTAGAAATGAAAATATAGTAAACGTAAAACCAGCTCCAGAATGATCACGCCTTGATCGAGCAAATCAAATGCCCCTACGGGGGCTTTGAAACAGGGGGGTGGGGGTTCTAAGATATATGTAAAGAATTTATCTGCCGCTTACTCTGAAACCCTGAGATCATGTTTTGCTGTAAACATTGTTGAATTTGTGATCCAACTAAAAACAGTATCAATTAAACTTGCTTAAAATTGGACGTTTATTTAAGTATAGTGCGGAGCTGAGTGAGAGTTAAAACCAGTCCCAGAATATTACGCAGTGGTCGAGCCAACTGGAACTTGACGAAGTTCCAGAGAGGAAGCGGGGTTCTAGGATATATTTGATTTATTCGCCGTCGGCTTCTGTAACTCTAAGACCAAGTTTACTGTAATCTTGCGAAATTGGTGATTCGCTTAAAAACAGTGTCAATTAGACTCGCTTAAAAATTAGAGGTTTTTATTAAGTGGGGGCGGGACTGGGTTAGATGCAAGAATAAAACGCTAAAACGTGAAAGACGTGACGATCAAAAATAAATAAATAAATAAATAACAATAATAATAATAATAACAATATAAAGTAATAACTTATATAATTATGTTATTTTTATAACATAACAATAGTCACAAGATACGTATGGGATACCTTTTTGGTAAAAAAAAAAAAAAGAAAAAAAAAAAAGAAAAAGAAAAGGAGTCAACATACATTTTCACACAATAATATTTTATTGGGGTCAATATAACTGTGTCCTGAGTCACGTGCATGTGTGTGTGAAGGCTTCAGACCGTCCAGGGAAGAGAGAAAAAAGAAAAAAAGAGGGGAAGTTGGTTTTGATTAATTAATTAATTTGAGACAATGTAAAAGGTCAAAATAATCAAATTCAGAAAATTAAGGAAAAATTGATAACCTGGAAGTCATGAGTAAATGCGTTAATTACCTTAAAACAACTAATTACAAACTAAAGAATTAATAAAGGAGCTTAAATTAGGAAACAATAAATAAGCAGAAATAATTTCTAATCACCGGAAGGAAGTGTGCTGAAGTACGCGGTAACAGTAGGATTGATTTAAAACCTAGGTAGAATTAGTTGATATTGGCATGAAACAGTCAAATGGTATCAGAAATGAGCAGAAATAAGTCAGTAGAAGTACAAGAAAAAAAAACGATGTAGCAGCCCGACAGGTGGTCATACGTTGTTGGGAGAAAAAGTTAAAATATTATTTAACTATGTTAAATGATTCGATTTTTATTTAGGCAGGTTAATCCCATTGAGCCTCGAAGACTCATTTACAAACAAAGAATAATGACAACAGCAACGGTAGATTTTCAATCCATTAACAATAGACAATCATAACAGGCATAACAAGATAACACACAGGTTACAAGGTAGCAAAACAGACAGATTATAAGGAAATCAAAAATAGGAACATGTCTGTATTACTGGATAAGTCCACATTAATCTGGAGAACTTTGACCCGGAAAGAGAAACGTCAAAGCTCAGCTTTCCCCTTAAATTAAATACAGGTTGAATTAAATTACAATTAAAATATAATAAAGGCTTAGGTGCTTAATTACACACCATACATAGGTCCAATTCAGTTTGAACATTTCTGGATGACGCATTTTGAACAAATTAGCTAAAATTTCTTCTAATATTGACCGTAATGTTAGTTTATAAATTCGACTGAAAAAAAAAAAAAAAGGAACCTTTTAATTTAAAATAGAGGAAATAAAAAGATATTTACATACACTTTAAATAGGAATACTGGGTTTAACTTAATCATTCTAATTGATTTTATTAGATTTGGAGAGCTGTTTTCTTATAAGAGCAACAATTTTACTTGTTAGATGAAATGCCTTGAAACAGTTTGACATTGTATACATGTCCTATGGCTGCATGAGGAGAACAGAGTTCAGAGGTTGTGTTTTGTGAACAAAGGTGCATGTAGACTTGTTGTGCAAACCAGGCGGCAGGATGACTGTTGAAGGTAAACGCTGAAGTCCTACAATAGAACTTACTTAGTTCTGGCTTTTCATATTTGGAGTTTGATTTTTTTCCATCTCAGCAGCCTGAAAAAGAGGTGTGTGCTGTGTGTTTGGATTCCTGAGAGAATGGACACTTGAGGGGCAGCAGAGTCTCAGGTTACAAAAGTGTGAGCAGGAAAGTTTTAAACCAGTAAAGGTGCAAATTGAAATTGTGGAAAAAAATTAAAGAATGCTTGAGAGATGAGGATAAGTTGACAAGAAAGAGGGAGGCAAACGCCAAGCGGGAAAGTAGATACAGAAAGTTAATGAGGGAGGTTATAAATGAAAGAAAAGAGTGAGGAAGTGGGTAGTTCAGTTCCCCATCTTTATAACCCAAGCGGCAAATCAGTCAGCACATCCCCCAACAAGAGTGCCCCATATATCACATACCAGATGGAAGGTTCCAGGTGGGGGAGGTTACTGACACCCCTTCTCAGCTGAAGGGGGAAGTCACCCATCCCAGTTAAAACAAAACCCCTTGTGAATTTTTTCTTCTCTGCAGTGGGAAGATGAGTTTAATTAGGCCCAAAAACATAGAAGGTAGCATTTAACTGCATACAGCATCCATCTGAGTTTTGATCAGGACTCTTGAGTGCCGGGGGCCGGATCAGATACAAATGTGTTCAGCTGGACGTTGAAAAACTGGATCTGGGAAAACTGACCGATGTGACTTTACAAGGACACTGTCAGCCGAACACCACTGACAAAGAAATTGTCGGCCGAGCAAGATGATGGAAACAAAGCAAAGATCTATCAGTCAAGCAACAAACTTGAACTTATAACTGTCCAGATGGGGGTCCTGGATTTTGTCACCAGTGGGGACATGAAGTCAAGTCTCACTGTATGCTGAGCCATGAACTGCTGCACAAAGCTGATCTGGTCTCCAGACCAAAGGAGATAACGTTGAGAGAGAAAAGCTGATGGTCCATCAGTCCAAGGCCACTAACAACAACTGTGGTCTGTCTGCGGTGTCTGGTCTACATTTGGTCTGTGATGGACATCCGGAGACCTTGGTGTCTTGATCAAAACTGCAGTTGGCTTTGATAATGAACACACATAGTCTCACTTTAAGACAGGTGCCATAACATGACACAAGAGTGCTGCAGTGGGGGTGCTGGACTGATTGCCCCTGTTCCATTTGCTCTGTGATGAAAATTGTTTTATTACATCAGAATCTATAATGATGCTCCTCACTCCTAAGCAATATATATATTTTATTTTACTTTTCATTTTTACAAGTTGATCACAGGAGAAACCTGTGCTTAAGACTTGAATTAGATTGAGTTGGGTGATGTTTTCTAAATTAAGGATAAATAATGGTCTTTGCCTTGAACGAGCCCATTTAGTAGGTCTGCTTTGCTACAACAGAGGACATTTATTTAATGGTTAATACT